CTCTGACTTATTGAGACCATGGATAGTTAAGTCATCTCCACATTTGAGCACATACAGGGTTGTGGAGGCCTTTGCTAATAGCCCTTGTTGTCTATTTCTCCTGTTTCGATTTTCCTCATGGGGAAACCAAGGTACAGAGAGTGAGCCTGGACCGTAGGCAGGCCCCTCCCTCCCTTGTAGTCTCCTCTAGGTACAGAGCATGCTCAGGACATGGGGAAATGGCACTTCAGTGAGATGGTGCAGGCACAGGCTCTCTGCCTACCCCTACCCTTACCTGCCTCCATCACGTGGACTGGGGTTGGAGGCAGGCAGGCCATCCCTCCCAGCTCCTAGTATGTTGGCCTCTGTCCGACCTGCTGTGACATGCTTATGCAGTGTCCATCTTCCCCGTCAGACCAGGAGCCTGGCTGGGGCTGGGCCTGTGTCGCCCCCTGTCGTTAAGTAGTGCTTTGGGAAGGAGGGAGGGAGGGGAAGACAACAGACGGCCCGGCCAGACCCTTCCCTGTCTAGACTCCCATATACCCAGCTTGGTGGCTTTGGGGGTATTGGGCCACCCCAAGAAGCTGAAGCGGGAGCCATATTCTAGCAGAGTGATTCCGTCATGCATAAAATCATTGAGCACCTACTGTGTGCCCAGAAGGAGCCCCGAGGACACAGTGCACAACAAGAATCAGGTCCCTGCCCTGTGGGGTGCACCTCCCAGCTGGGAACCAGAGAAAATACACAGGATGAGAAGGTAAATGGTATTGGAGTGCGTGGAGGATGAGAAGGATAAGGCACTGCAGAGGGAAAGAGACTGGGGAGGCCTGTCATCTCAGGTGGGGGCCCGGGCAGGCCTGCAGAGAAAGTAACGCCTGAATGAGGAGAGGGAGGGAGCCCTGAGCGTGCCTGCAGACGAGAGAAGAGCCCTGAGGTGGGAGCAGGCCTGGAGTTGTGAGCAGGGAAGCTGGCATGACTGGAGAAGGGGTGAGTTGAGGTCAGAAATGGGGGGGAAGGAAAATTTGTAGGGCCTTGTAGATCGTGGTAAAGACTGGATGAGGTGGGAGACATGGAGGTTCCCAGGAGAGGAAGGCCGAGGTTTGGCTTTAAAAGGGTCAGTGCCACGGGGAGAAAGCAGGCTTGGTAGAAGCTTTTTAATGTTGGTATGACCCTGGAATCTAGCACACGGTTCCAAAGTGGCAAGGAGCCCAGAAAAGAAGGCAGGTGGTGAGGCCCAGCTGGCTGGCTCAGTCAGTTGGAGTGTCGTCCCTTACACCAAAAGGTTGCAGGTTTGACTCCCAGTCAGGCACATGCCTAGGCTGCAGATTAGATCCAGGGTGCGTGCAGGTGAAGGCAGCTGGTGAGGGACCCTTCCTGCTGCCCACTGACATGCTGGGGAAGAAGCGGGGGCTTTCCAGCACCGTCTCCTGCTTATCCTTGACCCACACAGACTAGAGACTGCCAGCACATGCAGGGCCCGGGGGGGTGGGGGGGGGCACAGCTGATAGGTCCTGGTTCCATAAACATGATCCACAGTGACCTGGCTCTGATGGGGGAAGACACCCAAGATGCAGGATGGAATGCCCAGTGACATCGAGTCAGGAAAAGCTCCCTAGAAGAAGTGACAGGCAGTTAGACCCTGGAAGAGGAGGAGGTGGGGCCAGGCCTTCTAGGTACCAGGCTTGGCTGGGCAGAGGTCTGCAGGGGACCTTTCTCATCCACATGCCCCTGTACTCGTCCTTGAAGGGAGATTGTCTCTAGCAGGTGCTGAGCCCAGGGCCTTGAGCCGGAAAAGAACTGAGGTTTGCTGTGGGGGTTGGAGAACTGCTCCATTTTTGGGTGGCTGCTGCAGGAAGAGCAGCCGAGTGTTTCCTCTTGTCCCTGTGGAGAGCTGGGGCGTGACTGTCCTTGGGAACTGGGTCAGCTGATGGGGGTGGGGTGGGCGATCCTGGATCCTCCAGCTGGTGTCCTCATTGCCCCTGCTCTGAGTGGCCAGTGCCCATGCTGGACAAGGTCCTCAGTGATCTGAGCTCACGGTGTCCCCCTGACCCTACAGAGCGTCAGAGAGGAATTGCCCGCAGGTGGCTTCACAATGGCCATGTGACTTGAGAGCCACGGCCTGCAGACAGATTATCTGAACTCCAGATCTCAGCTCCACTGCTGAACTTGGGCCAAGTCCCTTCACCTCTCCAGCCTCAGTTTTCTTATCTGTAGAACAGGCATTACAGAGATGGCTGCCTGCTGAGGTGTTCACTTGTGAGGAGCAAACTGTGGCCAACACAGAACAAGGGCTGAATGTCGGTCATAGTTTGTTAGGCTACTGTGATGGGAAGGGCTGAATGTCGGTCATAGTTTGTTAGGCTACTGTGATGGGAAGGCGAAATGAGTTCCTTGAACTCATTTTTTTTTCTCTTGTGACCTGTGGGTAGAAATTCTAGACATGTCTGTCTGTCTCTTTGTCTGTCTGTCTCTCTCTCTCTCTCTCTTTCTCTTTTTCTTTTGGTTAATCCTCACCTGAGGATATTTTTCCCATTGATTTTTTATTTTTTATATTTTAGAGAGAGAGAATGGATGGAAGGGAGGGAGGAAGTGGGAGGGAGGAAGAGAGAGAGAGAGAAACATTGATGTGAAAGAGACATCGATTGGTTGCCTCCCACATGGCCCCCAACTGGGGCTGGGGACTTAACCTGCAATCCTGGTACGTGTGTGCCCTTGACTGGGAATCGAACCCGAGATCCTTCGGTGCCTGTGCTGGCACTCTAACCACTAAGCAACACTGGCCAGGCCTCCATCCTTTCTTTTGAGGCAGCTAATGATATGTCTGTGCTGCGGTTTATGTAGCCACGTCTCTTCCTGGTGGACATGGAAGTGCTTTCTAGTTTTTCACTTTGTGAAAGCACTGTGGGACACGTTTTTGCATCTCTGTAGTGGTCCAGTTCTTTAGGCTGTTTGCTGTGTGACTTATTTCCCTCTTTTTAGCATCTCTGTTTGACAGGAGCCGTGATCTCTTAGCCTTGTTCCCAACATTTACTACGAAAACTCAAACAAGGAAAAATTGAGGGATTATTTAGTAAATACCTGTAAACTCAGTAAATACCTATGTCCTACAATGAATATTTTTTATTCTTTATCCCATATCTGGATTTGGATTTCTCTAGCTTGATGACAGGACCAGCACTGCCTTGTTAGTTACTTATTTTCCCCTCCATCTCAGTGTCAATATGGCTTTCAGACACCCTGGGCTCAGAAGGCATGCAGTAGCCTCTTACATCCACTTGAGGCCCTGCCCAGAAAGCATTTCTTCTGAAGGGCTCATGTCTAGGTGGGGGACCCCTTGAATAGCCAGGAGGGCAGGAGGGACATTGAGACAGACTTTGGGGAGGCAAACAGTAATGCTCTATTCCCCATACCATGTGGGTGCCTGGGGGAAAGGCAAATGGATCCCAGGGACGTGTGCCAGCTGGCAAGTGTTGGTGGCATGGAAACACACTGGGACACAGATTCGCATCTTTCACCGTGACCCACGGTGAGGGAGGTTCTGCATCCTGACCCGGTACCCAGTCTCGTGTGTGACACCACAGCAGAAGCTTCATCAGCTTCTGGTTGCTCAGTGGTCGAGTATCAGCCTATGAACCAGGAGGTCACTGTTCGATTCCTGGTTGGGGCACATACCTGGCTTGTGGGCTCGATCCCTCATCGCTGTTTCTATCTTTCTCCTTTTCCCTTCCTCTCTGAAATCATTAAAAAATATATTTTTAAAAATGTATATAACCCATGATCTGAGTGATATGTCATATTTCCTCTTTTATTCTGTTCATCCAAAAAGAATAAATGTGGTCACATCCATCTGTTGATTTTTTTTTTTTTTACTCATAATATGTCACTATGTGTATGTAGTTTTGCAAAATGCTTCATGAGAATGTCCGTTCCCTGGGGATGAGATCTTTGCCAGTTTTGCTCCTTGTGGAATCCCTGAGGTCTGGAGGGGGGCTTGGTCTATAGGAGCGCCCCACCCCCCATCAAATACTTGTCACGAGGATGAATCTATTGCTCTGTGGGTTCCTAGAATGATTGTGACTGATTCTTCACTTTCTCTGCTTGCAAAGCCCCTGTCCCACAAGGCCGTCTGCTCCCCACCCACTACAAGACCGCTTCTCTTTCTCATTTTAAACATCTTTCTTCCCGTTGCAGAATATGCTGAATTTTTGCACTGCAAGTCCAAAAAGTTTACAGACTTTGACGAAGTCCGACAGGAGATTGAAGCGGAGACCGACAGGGTCACGGGGACCAACAAAGGCATCTCCCCAGTGCCCATCAACCTGCGGGTCTACTCTCCGCACGGTAGGCAGCATGAGCACGTACCTATCACGGGGCAGAGGAGAGCTCACTGCGCCGGGCACAGGCTGGGTCGGCCTGACTGTCACAAAGAATATGTCCCCTCCCATTTTTCTCACATCCACCCAGCCCTCTTGATCTGTAGCTTCCCACTTTCGATAGAAAGGTGATACTGAGAAACTGATCTCAGCTCTCAGAAAAACAGCTGCCAGGAAGACTGTCAGGTGTGGTGGGGACTGGGGCAAATTGTAGCTAGATGCTCCTTTTACTTCTTTATGGATTTATTTTTAATTGAAAGAAAAAAATTTTTTTTTAAATATATTATTGATTTTTTTTACAGAAAGGAAGGAAGAGGGATAGAGAGTTAGAAACATCGATGAGAGAGAAACATCGATCAGCTGCCTCCTGCACACCCCCTACTGGGGATGTGCCCGCAACCAAGGTACATGCCCTTGACCGGAATTGAACCCGGGACCCTTCAGTCCACAGGCCGGCGCTCTCTCCACTGAGCCAAACCGGTTACGGCTGAAAGAAAATTTTAATTAAAGTTCACATTCAGTAGTTTATTAGTTCCAGGTGTACAGTATAGAGGTTAGACATTTATATAACTTAGGTGATACCCCCCGAAAGTTTAGTATCCACCTGACACCATACATAGTTATGACAGAATTATCGCCTGTACTCCCTGTGCTATGCTTTACATCCCGTGTCTATTTTGTAATTGCCATTTTTGTATACTCCTTTTAAAGGAGCAGATACCACTTGGCTCCCAGGTGATGGTGGCCACATAGTGACAAGTGAAATCAGGTCTTTCAGTTTCTCCAGAGGATCCAGAAAGACTTCTCTGCAGAAGTCCTGCCTTTAACACTCTGTGTCATCAAGAGAGCAGCCTATAGTCATCCACGGCCTCGGGCCCAGAGCACAGATTGCTAACTTAGATAGCATTTGGGGAATAGTCCAGCAGACTCTTAACTCCTCAGTATGGGATCCTTGTGATGAGTTTTAAAATTTATTTTTGAATAAATTATACCTATAGGCGGCTCACATTAAAAAATTACAAAAGAAAATACAGTAAATACCCACCCTGGCCCCCAATATTGCAAATATATTTCATGTTCTTCATATGATAATGCATATTTAAGCATTTATGAATATATGCATGTGTATATTTACTCAAATTGTAGTGTCATTTAAAAACCATCTATGCCTCTTTTTTGTGTGAATGCATCTCGGAGTGTGTTTCTTCTTATTAGAGTATCATCTTTTTGTTTTTAATGTTCCCTTAGTATTGGCTGAATCTTTGGGTTGAAATTTATTTAGCTATTTAAAGCAATTTTAGTATGCAAATACAGATGTTCTCATTTAAAACTATACCACCAAAATAGAGTAGATACAGAGTATCTGTAGGATAAGATCCCAGAAGGGGCGTTACTGGATCAAAAGGTGTGACCCAGTTGGAGCAGCAAGAGGAATCCTGAGGCCTGGCACCTGGTATTTGGGGAAATGAGCTGAGTGGCTGAAGTGGCTGTGTGTGCCTCCCCTCCCTCAGCTCTGATGACCTTTCCTTCTGGTTTCCCTTCCAGTGTTGAACTTGACCCTCATAGACCTCCCAGGCATCACCAAGGTACCTGTGGGGGACCAACCCCCAGACATCGAGTACCAAATCAAGGACATGATCCTGCAGTTCATCAGCCGGGAGAGCAGCCTCATCCTAGCCGTGACCCCTGCCAACATGGACCTGGCCAACTCAGATGCCCTCAAGATGGCCAAGGAGGTCGACCCACAAGGTAACCACCAAATCCTACAGCAGCAGCTCCCTCTTCCAGGTTCCCCTGAGCATTGCAACTTGCCGGCATCCTTGATTCCAGCCAAGTCACTAGTGTTCTCTTTGATGGTGGCCAGTGTTTGTTTTTTAATTGATTTCAGAGAGGAAGGGAGAGGAAGAGAGAGATAGAAATATCAATGATGAGAGAGGATCATTGATAGGTTGCCTCTCACAGGCCCTTCACTGGGGGTCATGCCTGCAACCCAGGCATATGCCCCGATTGAGAATCGAACTATGATCTCCTGGTTCATAGGTCGACACTCAACCATTGAGCCACGCTGGCCGGGTGGCCAGTGTTTATTGATTGAACATT